TATATATATATATATATATATACGCACACACACATGTATTTTATGGTGATATATGGAATTTGTAATGTGTATGTTATATTTATGTGCTTAAAATTTGTATATATATAACTGGGTGTATCTGTAAGTGTATATGCGTTTTCATTGTATGTGTATTTAATGCGTAGTTATACACCGATTCTTCTAAACGTGTATAATGTTCATATCATCTTTATACAATGTGAAAATAAAATCTTAAATTATGCTTCCTGTTACTTTGATTTAATTAGTGATCAAACCAGTTCTTATATAATACATAGAAAGATTTAAATAAAACTATAAAATGAACGTCACAGACTCAATTTCGTTAGTAGCGCACTGCTTAATTTAAAATATAAAAAAGTACAAACACAGAGCAAAAATATGAGAATATTTTCCGCTAGTGCCAGTTTTATGCAGGCGCCATACTCATCTGGCGATAGTTAGGAACAGTGAAAATCATGTTTGAGTAGACGTTTAAAAGATAATATTTGCAGTAATAGAAACTGATAATGAATTAAAAGTAAAATGTACTAACGTCGTAGAAATTAGGTTTTAAGTTTAGGATACAAAAACAAAATTTAGATATATTTTTTTACTCGATTCACCTCATGCAAGGCAATAAAGCTACTAAGATGCAAGGGAGTTAAAAAGTGTGAATGAATACGCTAATAAGAGAGGACAATAAATAAATTCCCTCGAATGCACTTTTCCAACCTTCTCTGCCACGCTTCTATACCCTACCGGAGGGATTTTTCTTGGATGCTCCTCAGCTCTCTCGTTACGGCCCACTTTCTGGACTACACGCCTTCAAAAGGGGGTCATCTTCATGATGATTTTCATTGTTCTTGAGGAAAAGAAGAAAGTCACACGAAGCAAGATCAGGTGGATTGGGAAGTTGTTTCACTACGGTGATGTTCTTTTCGGCCAAGAATTGCCGGATGCTCAGGGCGTTGTGAGCAGGTTCATTATCGTAGTGAAGCAGCCACGATTTTTCCTCCAACAACTCTAGCATGTGTAAAAAAAATTGCACTGATTGCAGAAAGCTAAGATTACAGTTATATACACCCAAGATGATAGCATAAATCCGCTTATCCGTTTTGACCCAACGCTCACACAGCACACTCAGTCCCGTTTTTTCCCAACTGACCTCGTATATTGCATATTTTTTAAATACTGTCTTTTTGTTATTTGTCACAAACCAGATCCGCCATCCATTTACTCAAGCTCACAAAATAGGCTATGCTTTGTTTTCCTCTTTCTCGCTTCTCTTCAATTTGTCCTGTGAGTATCAGATTTTCCAAGCCCTCTGTCCTCTTCAATCTGTCCTGTGAGTATCAGGTTTTCCAAGCCCTCTGTCCCTCTTGTCTTCAATCTGTCCTGTCAGTATTCGATTTTCCAATACCTCTTTCCTTATTACGAGGCCTAGAAATTTCAACTGTCTCATCCTGATATTATGTATATGTGCCCTTTTTGTTTCCATTTTCTCTAAAACTTCATTGTTTCTCATATGTTTGGTCCATGTTATTCTCAGTATCCTTCTGTAGAACCAAATTTCTTTCACTTCAAGTTTCTTCTCACTGGTATATAGGATATCACGTAACAGTTCAGGTGAATAGGGAGATTGTTCCAGTACGGCTATGATCTTTTTGGCTATGACCTGACGGATGCTCAGGGCGCTGTGAGCAGGTGCATTGTCGTGGAGAAGCAGCCCCGATTTGTCCTGCCACAAAAATATGGCAGAAAAGATATGCAATGGTTGCAGTAAGCTAAGATTACAGTCATATACTCCCAAGATATCCTGTTTGATGATAGCACAATCGACTTATCCCTCTTTCACCCATAGCTTACACCCACTTCCATTACTTTTCCGACAAAGTGGAAAAAGTTTTCGTGTAACGCGTTTCGTCCTTTAGGACTTAGTCGGTCTAAGTTTATGTTTAAGTTGGTGCAACTACACATGCGCACGAACCAGAGACGTTGGAAATTTAAAATTTATAGATTTATTTTTTATGTGTTTTGGGTATATAATCCAGTTGATTTAATTTAGATTATTTTTTTTTTTGTTGGTTTTGTTTTGAGTAGCATATTTTTTAATATAAAATTGTGGTCAGTCTCGTTACAGTGAGCAGCTGATGCTTTGTAAAATATGTATTTTGTTTTAATATAATCTTTTATTTAAATTTCTTGAGGTTTCTCCGATGTATTCTTTGTCGCAGTTATTACAGTCTATAGAGTAAATTCCTCCAAGTTTGATTTGTATTAATTCTTTTACTATTTTAACCATAGTACTGACAAATTTTATGTTAAGATAGATTCTTTTCAGTTGTAGTTGCGGTAGAATTAGTGTGCAGAACAATGAATATTTTTTATTTGTTAGGTTTGTCAGGAAGTACCAGTTTTTTTCGGAATATTTTTTGAGCCTTTTGTTTCACTTTCAATATGAAATAGGGAACTGGGGGCGCTGGAACGTATTTTCAGTGTATTTCTCCACTTCATGTAAATATTGAGGGCTGCGGCTCAAGAGGTGGATATGTTATTTCGAAAAAAAGACAGTTACATCTTAGATTAAAAGGATACATATGCATTAACGTATTTCGAAAGTAAACGTTATACAAGTCATAGACATGAAGCCAGGCATTACTGTAGCACGTTTGTTCAATCGTGACAACTTTGATTGACAGGTCAGATGCGAGGGAAAATCTCCTCAAGCCTCCCCACACACGTTTATCTGTGTAAATATAATTGATAGAATCCAAAGAATCTGCAACATTATAGGTACTGACTCGGCTGCAGTCGCTTTTCCCTGGGTATAACGATGAACTACATCCGGCAGAAAAGCTTCTAATCAGGTTTTGAGGAGCGTCTAACCATTTATTAATTGCTGGTATTCCCTGGTCTACCCTGATTCGGAGTGGTAGCACCTGTCAGGGTCCCAGCTATGGGTAAATATTGAAACCCCCAAATTAAGGTCAAAACACTATGAAACTATAAAAAAAATAGGTTTTAATACCATCAATACAAATTTTGAGAAAGTAATTACCAGCAATGAAAATCTTGTCGGCATTAAATAACCCATTGAGCTGCCGTAAAACACCATACGTAACGTAATTACCAGTGCTTTTCCTATAAATATTTCCATGATAATTGTTCTGATTAACTTTCCCCTTTCTGAATTTAAGCGCAGTACTAGATTGGCGGCAAGGTCCCATCATTTTACATTTGAAATGGATAGAAAGTTATATCTAAAGTTTCTTTTCTCGCACCTCTCACCTGTGGAACTCTCGTTCGGCTTCGTATTTCCGGTGAACTTTGATCTTCAAAAATTTGAATGCAATGTTAATAGTTCTCTTCTGTCTCCTCAATTCTTCTTCTTTTATTGTTTTCTTGTATGACATGAATCACATACTGCAACTGTGGGAGACAGACAAGAAAAGACTACGCTATATAGTCAGATACGAGGGGGTGCTGAAAATTTATCAGCTTGGTTCTCTTCTCAAAATCAGTATACTGCTCATCAGAAATATATCATAACTTTTTATCTCTCTCTCTATATATATATATATATATATATATATATATATATATATATATATATATATGTGTGTGTGTGACACGATGTGATTGAATAAATACAGACGTTGTCTGCTTTTTTAATCATAATCCTTTCATATTCACGAATATTTTTCCGTATATTACAATTTGAATAAGGCAAGAAATGCTCTGTAACATTTATAGCATTTCTAACCTTATTCAGTGGTAACATACGGAAAAATATTCGTGAATATGTAAGATTCGATCAACATAAACAGAATGTTTGTAATTTATTCAATCAGGCATGCCTAAAAGAGTATTTGCTGCCTAAATACACACACACACACACACACACACACACACATATATATATATATATATATATATATATATATATATATATATATATATATATTTAGCTGCTCGTATTTAATTTATGCACATTTGATTAAAAGACAACAAAAGTTTTAGCCATGGAAAGATAAATTTACAGATACGAATCGGAAATAAGAAAAAATTATTAGAAACATCGTAAAAGCAATTTTTTTTTTAAATCGACAAGAAACTTCCGTTGTTTTTCTTTTCAATCAAGCGTGCCTATATATATATATATATATATATATATAATATATATAATGTGTGTGTGTGTGTGTAACACGTAAGAAAATGGAGAATAAAAAATGAACCCTAGTTTCATCCTCAAAAAAATTAAGAAACGTCGGGCCAAGTTCAGAGTTTATCTTGTGTCACTCGTGCTTTTCGCCTTAAATATGGAAAACTCGGATTTTGCTTTTGGCCTGGATGAGACTCACATCCGGTTCTATATTGTATTGGCTATATATATATATATATATATATATATATATATATAGAGAGAGAGAGAGAGAGAGTGTGGGCATAAAATCAATACTGTATGATGATAATCATTTTACACCTCAATAGATCCACCGGTATTGAACGTTCTCCTGTACATAATATAGCCAATTTTAATAAAGAAATAATTTAAAAATATGCACTAACTTTTGTTTGTTTCAACTTCTTTCGTTTTCGAATAGGTTTACCCCAACTTTTGTTCACAATACCCAGATACGTATTTTTGCATGCACGATTGGTTAAAATTCTAGAGAATTTTGTACCATTTTTTCTTTTTGTTTTTCAAGTAGCATATGTTTTTTTGTGAAACTATTTTATTTCCATGGTCGAATCAAAATCATTTTTCATATTTACCAGCGTTTTACTCATGACTTCTTTTCTTACTCCTTTGGGACCAGCTAGCCACATTCATTTGTGATGATCTTTCAATTATTCTGCTTAAATAAAAAAAAAGTATGTTTTAATATGAGCTTATAAAAATATAAAAAGGTATAATCCCTTTTGTCTTTTTTGATTCAGAGAAAGAAAAGATACGCCTTTTTTTTCTAAAATAAAACACAAAAAAAGTAACCTCTAATATGTTCACCCTGTGCATCATTCTTTTCCAAATTCTTTATATTCTTCTGTTTTGTCCATTTGTCTATCGTCTGCCGAGTAGCGGTAGTAACGCGCATGCGTGGACTCCATTCTGCGTTAAAATACAAACAAACTCACATCGAAGGTGAGAAGTCTGTTGCTTTATTTTATTTTGTTTTTTACTTGGAAGACGGTGAGACAAACTACATTTTAGAATCTTTACGAAAATGTGGCAGGAATTGCGGACGGTGATGTTGGAAGGGCTTTGAGGAAGCGGTTATGGAACAAAGAAAAAGATGAGGAAGTCAGTTGCTAATACAAAGGTTTGATTGGAACGAACCTGTCAAATTTTTGCAACCTCCCTTAAAAAGATTGAATACGTCTAATCTTGTCTTGTCTCACCAAAGCCGATGTTTCTTTCGTATCTTTATTTTCAATTACTTGAAATGACTCAGGATATACAGAGTTATCATTATGTTTGGTCTCTTTTTGTCTTAAGTTTTTCTGCATTACTTTGAACTTCACGTATTTGTCTACGATATGATTTCCAGAATAATTCGACTGGCTCTATTTCGTATGTATAAGGTCTTGTAGTACACGCCTTATCCACGGAAGACGTGTTTCAAGATCCCGCGGGTAAAAAAGACTTTTTTTTTTTTTTTTTTTTGGCGTGCGTTGGAAGGTTCACGGCCTGACTGAGAAAATCTGTGGTTTGGTCAAACTTGGGGAATTGGTTTGGAACGAGTATTTTTCAGCATTCTCTCGAAGGCAAGATTTTCTTCCATATCACTTTCTGTCTCATATCCCATCACATCTTTTTCTCTTTTATTTATTTTCTACTCTCTCTCTCTCTCACTCTCACTCTCTCTCACTCTCTCTCTCTCACTCTCTCTCATATAGTAACCCCTTCTCACTCACCCACCATTCCAGTTACTCAACCCTCTTTCTTTTTTCAACCACTCGACTCTTTGTCTTCTGTTTTCTCCTCTCTTTCCTCATTCTTTTATTTTCCCTCTCTTCTCTTACTCTTTTCTCTTCATCTTTCTTTTTCTTTTTTATCTTCCTCCTCTTTATCTCCCTTCTCTCTCTCTTTTCATTATCTCCCTTCTCTCTCTCTTTTCATTATCTCCCTTCTCTCCCTCTTTTCATTATCTCCCTTCTCTCCCTCTTTTCATTATCTCCCTTCTCTCCCTCTTTTCATTATCTCCCTTCACTCTCTCTTTTCTTTCCCTTCCCTCTCTCTTTTCTTTTTACCTCCTTCCCTCTCTCTTTTTTTTACCTCCTTCCCTCTCTTTTCTTTACCTCCCTTCCCTCTTCCTCCCTTCCCTCTCTCTTTTCTTTACCTCCCTTCCCTCTCTCTTTTCTTTACCTCCCTTCCCTCTCTCTTTTCTTTACCTCCCTTCCCTCTCTCTTTTCTTTACCTCCCTTCCCTCTCTCTTTTCTTTACCTCCCTTCCCTCTCTATTTTACTTTTTACTCGCTCTCTCCATCTCAATGACACTGTTTTAACGTCTTTCCACGTCTAAACTAAAATTCACATTCACACTTTGCTTTCAACTAAACCATTCAAACTCAAATTTCTTCAACCTCCCGACCAATACTCCTTTCACATCGACCTTAATTGATAGCAAAGGTAGTCAACGTGAGACATTCATCGTCATTGGTCAAATTACATCCTGTAGCGAACATCAGGTTCGTGTCTTTTCTTTATTCGACCGAAAAGTAACTTAAACACGCTCATAGGAGACATAGAGATCAACAAAGTCAAGTCGCTCACAATTAAAGAAATGCCCCCTGGTGGCCATCTTTCGAAGTGATTACTCCCAAAATTCGTTTTCGCTCATTGCAGACTACTCCCTGCCTGCCATGTGTCTCACCCATTGAGCTTGGGGAAGAAATGAAATGATCCACGGCCGTACGGTTGTCATGTTTACGAATTCATCACAGCTTTGCTTGTTGGCAATATCTCTTATCGACACGAGAAAAGCGTGCAAAATCGTGGTTCACTCGAAAGCGATCGTTTTTGTGATTATCCTTCGTTATAAACAAATCAGGATTTAGATTTAGTAATTACCAAACATTTCAAATACCTCGTTATAGGGAGCAGTTACAACAAACTTATCAGAAGAGATAAAGAAAGTGAATACAGAATAGGCTGCGTTAGATGTAGCTTCTCTCAACACCTCCACTTGCTACAAAACTAAATTTTCTGATACAAGTAATTTTGTCTATATTTCTGATATAAGGTATTATGTATACTATTTACATTGTTCGGACTATCATCCGCATCTTTTCGGCTGTTGTACGCTCTGGCCTTCTTCAGGTGGTTGGAATGTCGAACTGAACCCTTTATTTCGCTCACTGGGGTAGACTGTTCTAGTTCCACGTGCCATGTCAAATGGATCAGTTATTTCCTGTTAATTCCCCTCTTCAAGTTCTCTACTGCCTTAACCAGGTATTGAACTCACACTCCTTGGGTCCTGTCACTGGATCTAACTAATTCCCCTTGAGAACACATGGTACAGTGGATAAAGGCGTTAGTTAGACTCACTGACAGGACCGAAAGAGTGTGAGTTCAATACCTGCTTAAGGCGGTGTTGAACTTGGAGAGGGGAATTAACAGGAGATAACTGATAACCGACATCCATTAGACTTGGCACGTGGAACTAGAACAGTCTAACTCAGTGGGCAAAATAAAGGGTTCAGTTCGACATTCCAACCACCTGAAGAAGGCCGAAGCGTACAACAGCCGAAAAGTTGTGATAAATATGGCAACAAAGATGAGGACAATAGTCTGAATAATGTAAATAGTGATTTGAACGGTATTTAGAGGCGGGAGAATAAAAACCTATTAATTGTAAAGAATTATAATATTATTTCATTTCTAACAACAAGCTTAAAGTAGTAGTATATATATATATATATATATATATATATATATATATATATATATATATAACTAGACTCGTTTTCGAAAACCCTCGAATTTTTGATTTGCTAATCAAATCAATCTCGAGGGAAAAAAAATTTTAAAAAGAAAGAGCTACAAACATGAACTTCTGCCGACAAAAAAAATCGCACAGATGCAGGTCTGAAGCCCAAAGAAAAAACCCCGATACGAGTAATATATATATATATATATATATATATATATATAAAAGACAGGATTTATTTACAGGTGGTGATTGCGATGGCATACCAAAAGACGAAGAGTGAATAGATTTTTTAAAAATGGCGTACAGCGGGACAAAACAGTGTATCGGCATACATCAAAAGAAGATGATAGTCCGAACAATGTAAATAGTTTACAAGTAATTTTGTTTTGTTTACTAATGTTTACCCAATACAAGATCCAAGGGCCAGTCAAGGTAGAGGGTTACTGTGTGGAATTATATTAGCGTAAAAAACGGTAAGAAGTGAAGTTCTTGGGGCTGTGCAGGAAAGATAAATCTAAACTCGAAGAGGTCATTATTTAATTAGTGAATACGTTTCATGTGGAGAAGTTTAAAGTTGAAGTAGGCTTTAGAAGGAAGTGGAAACCCAATCGTAAACGGGAAACAAGTGATAAACCTCTTGTTAAAAAAAATGGGGAGGTGTATGAACCGGACGATAGGCGAATTTATCAACTCTTACTAGGGGAGAAGGAAAATTAAATAACCAAAACATTTCAGTATTCAGGCAATGACGTTAGAAATATAGAGTTGAAGTAGACTTTAGAAGGAACCAGAAACCCAATCCTAAACAGGAAACGAGGGATAAACCTAAACAGACCGGAAACTTTAGAGGGATAAACCTAATCCCAAACAAAAATAATGACCGGGTTAAAAAAGGGGGAGAAGTAGACTTTAGAAGGAACTGAAACCTAATCCCAAACAGAAAATAATGGATCTAATCTTGTTAAAAAAGGGGGAGTTGGGGGAGTAATCCCAAACAGGATCTAATCTTGTTAAAAAAGGGGAACTGAAACTGGAAACTAATCCCAAACAGAAAATAATGGATCTAATCTTGTTAACAAAAAGGGGGGGGAGTTGAAGTAGACTTTAGAAGGAACTGGAAACCTAATCCCAAACAGAAAATAATGGATCTAATCTTGTTAACAAAAGTGGGGGGAGTTGAAGTAGACTTTAGAAGGAACTGGAAACTCAATCCTAAACAGAAAACAATGGATAAACCTCTACTCCGGTTCAAAAGATGCCTATACGGAATAATAGTTTTAATTTTAAAAGTTAAATTATGCTTTATTTGCTATATAAGGATATGAAGAATTTGGAAAGGTCATTAAGGAATTCCTCCTCAAAAAGTAAACCCTGGAAAACAACGAGAATATCATGCAGAGTGAAGATCTTGTCCGATCGTTTGTGGTTAGCCTCAAGGGATTTAATTATCATTCGAGGTTTGAGGGTTTTTTCTTCCAATCTTCATCAGCCAAATAACGAACACAATTTTTCCCGAATTTCTTTCTCAAATATGACAAATATTTCAGTGCTGCCATTTTTTTTTTTTACTTACCTTTATCTTCAAAGGAGTTGTTTTATCTTTCAAAATATCTATTTGTCTCTCCTGCTGATTTGTTTATTTTTTATTTCTCGCATCTCTTTCTATCTCTCAACTCTCTTTCTATCTCCCGCCTCTCTCTCTCTCTCTCTCCCGCCACTCTAAGTCTCGCCACTCTCTCTAAGTCTCCTGTCCCCCTCTCTCTATCTCCCTGTCCCCCTCCCTCTATCTCCCTGTCCCCCTCCCTCTATCTCCCTGTCCCCCTCCCTCTATCTCCCTGTCCCCCTCCCTCTATCTCCCTGTCCCCCTCCCTCTATCTCCCTGTCCCCTCCCTGTCTCCCTGTCCCCCCTCCCTCTATCTCCCTGTCCTCCCTCCTCTCCCTGTCCCCTCCCTCTATCTCCCTGTCCCCCTCCCTCCATCTCCCTGTCCCCCCTCTATCTCCCCTGTCCCCTCCCTCTATCTCCCCTGTCCCCCTCCCTCTATCTCCCTGTCCCCCTCCCTCTATCTCCCTGTCCCTCTCGTCTCATTGTGCATTTCGTTTTCATTATTTTCGTTTTATCTGCATATACTTCGTTCATTTCTCTCTCTTTCGTTTTTTTCTTTCGTGTCGCTTTCCTTCCAAATTATTTTCTTACGCTTTCTTCTCATTTCATTTATTTCCTTTGCCTTTTCTTTTTCTCCTTTTTCCCTCTCTTTTTCTCCTTTTTTCTCCTCTCTTTTTCTCTGTTTTTCTTTCTCTCCCTCTGCTTTTTTTCTTTCTCTCTTTTTCTCTTTTTTCCCTGTCCCCTCCCTCTTTCTCTTTTTCTCTGCTTTTTTCTCTTTCTCTCTTTTTCTCTGCTTTTTTCTCTTTCTCTCTTTTTCTCTGCTTTTTTCTCTTTCTCTCTTTTTCTCTGCTTTTTTCTCTTTCTCTCTTTTTTCTCTTTTTTTTCTTTTTTCTGTTTTCTCTTTCTTTTTTCAAATTATTTTCTCTTTTTTCTCTTTTCTCTTTTCTTTTTCTTTTTTTCTTTTCTTTTTTCTCTGCTTTTTTCTTTCTCTTTTTCTCTGCTTTTTCTCTTTCTCGCTTTTTCTCTGCTTTTTCTTTTTTCCGCTTTTTCTCTTTTCTCTTTTTCTTTTTTTCTTTTTTCTTTTTTTCTCTTTTTTCTCCTTCTTTTTTTCTCTTTCTTTTTTTTTCCTTCTCGATTTTTTCTTTCTCTCTTTTTCTCCTCCCCTTTGTATTCTTTTTTTCTTCTCCTTATCTCTCTTTGCTTCATATTCTTTCCTTCTATTACCTAGACAATAAATTATATTTATTATTTATCCTTTTTTCCTTTGTGGATTTTTTTCACTTCTTTCTTTCCTTTGTCTGTTTCCCTAGTTCTCATTTTATTCATCCACATTTTTTTTCTTTCGCTTCTTCGTTTTCTAAATTCTTTTTTTTTTCCAGCCTCTCACCCTGCAACCTTCTTGGTTCATCACCTCGCCAAACCCGAAATATTTTTGGCATTTCCCTCTCTATTTTTCATATTAGATATTTCTTTCAAATCTTTTGTCCAAACGACATATTAATGAAAAGAGGAGCAGCTTTGGGGGGGGGGTAAAAATGTCCGCTAAAAAGAAAAAAATATATATATATATATATATATATATGTAGTAAGACAACGAAAATATGAAAGAAAATCAATCAAGAATGGAAATTAAAGATAAAAAAGGATGTCTGAACAGAAAAAAAAAGAAGAAAAATGAAACAGAAAGAGAATATAAAGAGAAATTCCAGTAGTGATTTGATTGCCTTCCTTGGGCTGAGGTTAGCCGCTTCCTTATAAGGAAATATTTATCCCTCGTGGTTTTAGTAGCCACCTCTGTTGTCAGTTGAAATTTATAAAAGCTTTCTCTTATATTTTTTCATTCTTTTGTGACGTACGGTGACCTTTAATGATTAAGTATAACTCAAGACTCCAATGTTAAAATAAAACAGTATTTAATTACAGCCGCAAATAAATACTTAATAAGAACAAAGAAGTAAAAGTCAACCAAAGATAATTAAGTATTTCAGTCAATACCTTGTTAGTAACGCGGCTCGGTTTAACGTCCGGTAAGAAAAATACTAGATTGGCACTTAGGTCTCATCATTTTATTATTTTAAGGTCTATGCTAACAGATTCTTCTATGGCATTTTTCATTAGTAGTACTCTGTTCCGGTTTATTGCTTTCCGGGCAACTTTGATCCTCAAAAATGTAAATGCAATGTCAATCGTTATTTTCTGTCTTCTTAATTCTTGTTCTTTTATTATTCTCTCTCATTTATAGTGTTTCTTTTTCTCTGATGTTCTTTAGCACTCAGCAACCCTTTGTGTTATAGAGGTTTTATCTTTTTTTTTATTTATGGTTCATTCTTTTTTCTATTTTTTATTTCCTTTTATATTTTCTTTTTCGCCTATTTTTCTTTATTTTTTTTTTTGCCTTTTCTTGATTTTTTTCCTTTATTTATAAGATTTTTTTCATGTCTTTTCTCTTTCAGTTTTTTTCTTCCTTTTAGTTTATTCTCTCCTTAATTGTTTTTTTTTTTTTTTTTTTTTTTTTTCAATAAATAATAAAAATGAAAAATAATGGTTATGGAATAGGCATTCGAAAATTTATTTAAATTATTATAATCAGCACTACGTCACAGTCACGTGACATAGTTTGTTTGTTTTTCTAAACGCGATAACATCACGCTCACCTGGCAGCTTTTGGCAAGGATGAAAGCATGCTATATGTTCTCTCCTCAGTTGGGAGAAACTTGCGTAGATTCTAACCCTTCGGCAGCAAATTCCTCATTGAACTAAGAGAGGTAGGGTCGGTAATATCGATGACAGCGTGACAGTGGTCGCGAAGACTTTGTATCCTTTGCCCATATGCATGCAAATGGACACCTACGTAAACGATCTAGTGTCACATCGTGCATTAGTTGGAGGGGAGAGATCATTTAAATATACCATCGCGCTCACGTTACAACCAAAACATACAAAACTCAGAATTCAGAGCCGTTCTGTAGATGGATTTTGTCAGGCAGACTTTGAATTCCATTCATTATCTTTTTCCTTTCTTGACAATGACTGAATCCAATCGGAAGCTTAAAACAACCTGTCGAGAGCTTTCTTCATACTTTCAACACCTCTATATGGAACCGACAAGGAACAAAAAAAAAAACTTTTTTCTAAAAATAAAAAATACGATATACTTTTTCTGTTGTCATTAATAAAACTTCTTTGAATAAATATATTTATAGATATATAAAATGTGCGATATTTTGTTTGTCCATGTGTATTCGATTCAATAAATAAATCAAGGCGGACACAAAGTATATTTTAGAAAAAAAAAAAAAATAACAATGTCAGCAGTATTAGCGTGGGAGCGTCGCCCGTCTCCGAAGTGACGACATTCAGTAAGTATTCGGATCGAGAGGTGCCTTCTGGCGCCAAAAAGAAAAAAAATATAAGAGGAGAAAAAAATGGAAGATGGCGCTTGGGAACGAATTCAAGAAAACAAGATGGCGGTGGTAGAACAGACTTGGTGTCATGTTGGGACACCAGGGATCTGTACAAGGATTGAGGAGTCATTGCCCGCTGGAGATTTTAATGAACGTTAGTATATATGATGTGTGTATGTGTATGCTGGATTAAAACATTTGTAGGTAGATGCTTATGAATTTTATCGAATTTTATTTTTCTTTTCTCGTGTGCACTGCTTGTCCTTGTGTTTGTACGTGGGTCTGTGTAGGCATATTATCACACATAAGTTCGTATCTATCTGTAGCGTGACTGAGAGAAGGGAAGATATTGACTGTCAATTTTTTAACTAAAACAAATACAGCACACACACACACACACATATATATATAGTTTTACCAGTTTGTGACTGGTAGGGATAATTCCAATGAGGATATTAATCTAGGAAGAGCTCAATGTAGACTACAGAGAATAATAATAATAGTAATAATAATGAAAACTTGAATTATTCATTTCGATTCTAATTTATTTCGTGAATACCGAAATATTCATCTCTTCAGATCAAAATCTCCTTAGTAAATAGAGACAATACACCGGACGGTTATACTAGAGTGATATTCATGACAGAAAAAATGAGATAGAGACGGGTTTATGGAAAATAAAGTTTTAAGGAAGTAATGGCTGGGTAGTATTAAGCTTAAACCAGTTGGCCCGACCAAGAATTTTTCCCTTGAATTTTGAGACTTTTTCTATTGGGTTATACTGCAAATTGATCGATATGGTTTGTTGTTTTGAGGCATAACAACCCAACGCAATTCCAAATTAGTCTAATGAAAGTATCCTTAATACAAATAATAAGTAGCGATTACAGTAATAATATCTAAATATTCTTCTCTTCAGACCAAAATTTCTTAGTCAATGGAGACAATATACCGGACGGATATATTAGATTGATAGCGGGGAAGCGAAAGCTGTTACGGTTTTTGGGGTATATAGCACATATAACTAGTGAGCGAGTCAGAATGACTTATTTCCCTTTATAGTCGACCAATAGAAGGTTAACCAATCAGAAGCCGCCCAACACTGTATTCATCGTGTATAAAGGCGGCCATCTTGTTTCCTCCTACCGGAAGGACCAAAGGCAACCAGGAGAAGGGTGAACTACACTCTGCTGTGATATCCACTGCGAACCTAAAGTACACTTTCCTACTGTCTCCGAAATATTCACTGCCAACCTCTGGATTCAATACTCGAGGACGACCGTCATGAAAATGTCTAACAAAAGCAAGATAGAAAATGTGATGGAGGGGCGTTAAGACAAAGAAAAGGTTAAGAAAGTAACGAATGTATAGTAGTAAGCCTAAACAGACTGACCCGGTCAAGAATTTCCTTAATGTATGGAACTTTGTAAATTGTGTTATACAGCAAATTGACCGATATGGCTCGTTGTTTTAGACATGAAAACCAACACAATTGCAAACTAATTAGTTCAATGAAATAGTCCTTAATACAAATAGTAATTATAAATTACAATAATAATAATACCAGTTTGTGACTGGTAGGGATAATTCCAATGAGGATATTAATCCAGGGAGAGCTCAATGTAGACTACAGATAATAATAATAATAATAAAAAGAAAACTTGAATTATTCATTTCGATTATAATTTATTTCGTGAATACTGAACTATACATCTCTTCAGATCGAAATCTCCTTAGTAAATAGATACAATACACTGGACGGATATATTAGATTGATTGTGGGGAGGAAACCAAGAGAGATTAGATATAGGGGCGGTTATGGAAAAGAAAGGGTTAAGGAAGTAATGGTTGGGTAGTAGTAAGCTTAAACCGGTTGACCCGGCCAATAATTTTTCCCTTAAATTTTGGGACTTTATGGCCTGTTGTTTTAGGCAGGACAAACCAACTCAATTTCAAATTAGTTAGTCTAATAAAAGAGTCTTTAATACAAATAATAAGTACAGATTACAATAACATATATATTAGATATTTCGTATTTAAACAGACGCCTCGTTTTTTTTTGTTTTTTTTTTTTGTTTTCGTTTTTGTTTTTTTTTGTTTGTTTTGTTTTTGTTGTTTTGTTTTTTTTTTTTTTATTAACCAGTGTGCATTAAGGCCGCCAGCCTGTCTGTGCATTAGAGAAATCTTAGTAAAGAAATGTTCTGTAGAGATCGAACCCGTGTCCCTCTTCCTTGGAAAAGGAAAACTGAACCTTGCTCACTGTGACGTTCTTTGTGTTTTAACGCTAAAACATGTTAGATCAAATGGTTGTTTCCCCTACAAAACGGGGGCGCTGGTTAGCCTTCTTAGATGAAACATTGTCAATCATTATTCATCTTTCAATAGTATTTCTGTTGTAGCATACCTACGGACGATAATGGGTATGTCCCCATTCATATAAATACAGTAGTAAATATTGTATGTCTGTCTGCTGTTGGAAACTCGTCTCCAGGTGTGCTGGTCAAACTCTCTGCTTCTGGGCAAAGAGGATCCCCCAGACGAGGTTTTGTCGAAGGGCAGAATGTCGTCTCTGGAAACAGCTACCCGACCGCGTTTGATACGGTGTCTACGGGGAATTTTGGCCGAGCCCACGGACTCTGATAACCCACATTAAATTCGGCTTTGTGCCACATCTGACCGCGTGGGGCGGTTGGTAGATATCCTGCAGTCGGAGATTCATTGTGGAATTCAATTGACTCACTTCTAGCAGTTGACTACTTCTTCTACGCGCCGCTGGCGAATCTTATACGTGCTGTTCTTTGTTCTAAGTATTATCGCTTATTACCAACCTTCGTTTGAGTATTCTATTCAGTAACCTTCCCTAGGTTACAACAATTTCTTTCATCTTCATTTCTCTGCCTTTTATTTTTGTACATCACCCATATTTAAGAAGTCGAAATCGATAATTTACCTGTATGACGAAATTAGGATGAACTGTCTTTTCGTACGCATGTTAATGCAAAAGTGAGTTTTAAGTCACAAGTAGCTTAATTTTCAGTCACGCCTCATAGGTTTTCATTTGTTAGTTTTCCTTCTTTCCCTTCGTCTCCTCGTCCTGGGTAAGACGATAAACTACGTCCAACAGC